ACTGTCAATTTTGCAGAACCACATATTTTCCAGGTACAACAGACAGGTATGAATGGAATCACAAGTATAGATGACATACATGTAAAACCTCATCAAACATCACCTCACTCAACCACCCCGTCTCTCAGCCCAAGGCTAAGTCCTTCTGAGAGTTTTTACTTTAACCATTTCCCCCACAGGAGCTCTGTATCTTATTACCCTGAGTGCAAAGTAATTCCAAATCCCATGTCTGACTTCATCCTAGCTGAAAACACATCTGACTGTCATTTGGAGGAAATTAAGGTAGAAGGCACCTCGGACAATCCCGTGACTCTTTCCGAACAGTCTCCAATGTCGGTGTTTAGAGGTGAGGACATGGGTGATGGGTGGGAGAGTGGAGAATATCGAGGAACGGACAGTCCACTCTTTATGGTTTGGCCGGAGGATAGTGATGAAGACAACGAGGAGAGCAGATTTAATGTGAGCTTTAGGGCAGCCAGTCAAGAGGACAAGGAGTTTGTGTGCCCTCTCGCGCTAAAGAAAATTATGTCTGGACCAAGTAAAACTCTGGTAGGAGGAGGGTTCTCAATGAATTTTTTTGTAGCTCATTGAATGTCCTGAAAGATTACAAATGAAAAGTGATTTGTTATCCCCCCCCCCGTTTTTTCCCCAGAATGGTTTGGAAGCCAAAACTTCTGAAGCACCAAAAGTTCTGTGTCGTCAAAGCCTCGGTCTGGTTTACATCACTATTGATGAGAACTACACAGAGGGCACACTGGAGCTCCTGTCTGATTTAATACAACCTGGTTACTACCCCCCAAGGGATATCACCACCCATCTGCTGCACAACATCCTGCTCCAGCCACAGTGTCCCCATCACCTGTGTGTGCAGGCATTCAGCTTGTTAATGAGGTCACAGAGGTGAGGAAACAGTCGATAAATAACAGTTATTTATTGACTTTTCCTGTGGATTTTGACTCTTTATATTTCCTCCCTAATTTTCACATCACATCTCTAGACACCACAGAGTTGATACGACTACAGTACCGTGGGACTGGAATTTGTTGACCACAGTCATGGCCAACAGTCAGGTACTACACAAAATACAAGCCCTATTATGTATTTCTTTTTCTTTTAAAGTACAGACATTGCCTAAATGAAACTTTTTTTTAAATTTGGCAATTTAGCCTAAACAGACAAATAACGATGGTGATCTACATTTTGTGTCAGGACTCAGCAGACAGGCAACGCTGTTCGGTTATTCGTATGTTCCTGGATTACATTGTGCAGACACTGGAGGATGATTTCCAGGCGAAACGCTCTGGTTCCGCTCTCAATCAATCCATCGCCAAATCCCTATTGTCATGTGATCAGCAGTTTTCTCAAGTCAGGTGAGAATTATACTTTAGAATTATGTACTCGTTATACATATACAGTTATAAATTATACATTTACTTAACATAAATAATACAGATTTGTAATCTATATTATGTATTTTAGCAATTTGATGACATTGCAAACACAAATAATGCAATAACTTTAAATATTTTACCCTCTTAAAACTACCAAAATGATGCATTCCATTTTTCAGGGATGTCATCAAATGGCTTTTTTCTGCCATAAGTAAATCTGGAGAACGTAAAGACAGAACCAAAGAGGGAGCTGAACCAATCAGGTAAATTATTAAACTATGCAGGTTGGGAACTGCTAGTTTATACTGCTATATTATCTGTATTTTCTAGTGGAGAAACCCTTATTTGTGACCTTACTTTTCTACAGAATAGTGTGTTCCCTCCAGAGGATGCTGTCTCTGGCTCTGGAGGTCGACCAATCGCCAGCTCTCAGCTCTGTCAAACTGTCCCAGGAGCTTTTTCATATGCTCATCAGCAATGTGACTTTGAGAGCACAGAGGTGAGGAGTGTTGAAGGGGGGAAGGAAAGCAGTTGGACTAGCAGTTTTATGACTAATAAAAGGCGAATATTTTTACTCATTGAATACTACTACTACTACTTGTACACGATAAGATTGTTTTACCCATCATTATATTTGCACTATTTGAATACAGTTGTGGAATGCACAATAAAAAAATCACCAATCATTGCACTGGTAGCAATGGCGGTTGAGTTTTTTTGAGTTACTTTTAACTGATCTCTGTCTATGTAACTCCCAGGATGTTACTGCTTGAGAGTCTGCAGAACACACTGCTCAGGTGGAAGCTGCTGGAACTTCTGCTGGACTATTCATGTCCACTGAAAACCACTGTCCCTATGTCACTAAATCTGCTGCTTCATTTTATGAAGAACTGCATTCTGGCACCAGACTCCATGGTAAATACAAAAGAGAGGTTTTTTTTTATTTACATCATTTTACACTTTTACTTTATACTGCTAATAAAAATTGTATGAATAAAGATGTATTAACTTTAGTAAAATGTAAGGTGTTATATTTGACGGTTAATCGTAGGATGGTGCAGAAAGGTGGAAGAAGTGGGAAGAGTTGGTCAGTTATCTCTGGATGTTGCTGCTCGGCTACAAGGCAACGAGAGGTGAGATCATTTTACCATTGCAGTCCATGCAAATGCTGTATTACACAAGAACAAAGCCCCAGCTTTTACTCCAATTCTACAAACAGTAAGCTGGCAGCATGAATTTGAATATGGCTAAAAAAAACAAAAGTCAATGAATGTATTTCCTGGTAAAAGACTGTTTGCTCACAGAAACGCAGTATATGATCAGGCTATTCTTGAAGATGATCATATTATGACTTATTGTATCTCAATGTGTATTTATAAAACTCTAATCTTAAGAATGTAAATTACTTAACTTTGACCTTTTATGTATTTTGTGAAGTAATTTTGCATTGGACAATATATCTTGTTGACTTTCTGAAAAGTTGTGGAAGGTTAAAAAAACAAACATTTCTTGTTCAGTAATAAATGACTTGGGAGTCACTATCTGGAGCGTAGCGGGGAGTTTCTGCTTTTTTATGAATCTGTTATGAATATGTGTTTGTACAGTATGGGGGTGGCTGGTGACTTTGTGATTTTCAGAAAACTTAAAATAGAAAGTACTTAGTTTTCCTCTGTGAAACTTATTCTGATTTATTCTTCACTTTTCTATCAAACCTAGGTAGCTCAGCCAATGAACAAAGAGCCAGGAGCAGCTCTGTGGTCTTCAGGTCTGAAGACAAGTTGTCCAAACCAGACATTCATGAAGCTGTCAACTCCTTCCTGTTGAGATCCGTGGATGACATTGGTCAAGCGTTACCCGCCCACGTGGAAGAGTCCCTCACGTATCTACAGGATTACCTGTTTGAAGTCTGTCAGTGTTATAATAAAAACCCTTGACTTTTACCTTTTCTATTGAGCTATCAGTAAAGCTCTGAATCAATGGCCTTTAATGGGGGTCCACAACATTTTTTACTGTATGTTTTTACAATTATCCCCATTTAATATCTGTAAATATACTGTACAATATAATCAATATGTTTAGGTAAATGGGTACTTGTGGACATAGCTTTTGTAATTGACAAGCAATGTTGATATTGGCAATGGTACGACAAGGCATGTCCATAAAATCCTACTGAATGTTCCTACTGAACTGTGAATAAAAAAAATAGGCATGTCCATAAAATCCTACTGAATGAACTGTGAATAAAAAAAAAATATATAAATACACTTACTGTCGGCTTGAAATGCTTAAATCCCCCTAAAATTAAATTTAGTTTATTTATTATTATTACTATTATTGTTGGTCTATTATACATTGCATTGCTTTGTTTATTATTATTATTATTGTTGTTGGTCTATTATACATTGCATGTCGTTTTTTTTGCGGACAGAGAAGTAGAATTCAACAGTGCCTACGTGAGTTGGTGTTAATTTGATTATCATTATTCTGTTCCCGTCTAGCGAACAAAGCATTACTCATAATCCTTATTGGACAGCTCAGATCAAAGCATTACATCACTTCTTTTATAATCAGCGCTGCTCTTGATAAACTGCCCTCTGCTAACTGCACTTAATTTCGGGAGCCAGAGTAAATTCGAACGGTACTATTGCTAATCATCCATCTCGTGGTCCATCACTTATCTGTTCGGGATTTTATTTACTCTGGTTCAACAGCTGGTTGGACTGTCTTTGCATTGACCAATAGGATCGAGCGCTGTTATCGGCAGAGGAAAAAAAAACGCTTAACAGTCGCCATGATACAGCAGCGGAAACGGCGGAGAAGTAGCTAGAAAACAAAAGAGAACACGCAGTCGTCCTGGCGGTTTGGTATGCTCTTGCAGGTAAAAGTGTAAACCTTTGTAGAAAAACCGAAACAGTTGATTTGTTTAACTATGATAGTGCGTTCATGTGAACAGCGCCGTGTTTATTTTCTGACGTTGGGCTTATTTGACTCGGAAAGCGGTGCGTTGGAATAATTTGTGTTAGGTTGTAGCCAGCGAGCTAACTCGGCTAAGCTACATTGAAAGCTCGCGGTTGCTCACGGAAATTGTGCATCGTCGTGAACTCGAATGCTATCATTTCATCTCAACACTATAGATCGTGTTTGTAGCTGTTGGTGGTTGGGGTTAGCTTCGGCTAACTAATGCTCCGTGTCGTGGCCTTGCGTTAATGCGCAAGTCAGTGTCTCGCTATTATGTAAACAACATATATACACATAATATCCTGACACCACCTTTCGCTCGCTGACTGAGACAAGGCATCCAAGGCGAATATTCGGTAAATATGTCCTTAATTCATACGTTTGAACCATGCTGGTTAGCAATCGCGCTAGTGCTGTTCATTTAGCGTTTGTTGTGAATATAAAAGCTGCATATTTAGCCTTGGCTAAGCTAATGTATCAGCGACAGCGAGAGGAAATTTTGGCTAACACAGCTAAGCTGTTTTGCAGTTAAGCATACGTTTCCATTCGATAACTTCGGTAGAATTCCAAACAGTCGTTAGCCACCTACTTCCATACTTCACTCTTGCGTTGTTAATTTCCACTTTGACATTTTATATAAATGCTGTACCACGTTTTTAAAGTATCTACCTGCTATGAAAGGCTGGTGAACTAATTTTAACAAATGTTCTCATCGGCCGAAAAAAAGTACAAACAGTATCTGAATAAACACGCACACGTGCTCACAACAGATGCATCACTATTTTACATAACATTTGTCAGCCGCACTGTCAATGATTCAAACGTATTTATATTACATATATTTATAATTCCCATTGATGTGATTCTGATATTATATAATTTCAGACTTTTAGATTATTTTTACACTCACATTGTACCTCGTGTTAATTGTTGCTGTGAGTCATTTTAAAAGTCGCAGTTGGTCTGTCTAAGGAGGCTGCCATGTTAAATTACAATTTTTCTACATAAACTGGTGTACCACGTTATAATAATAAAAATGTGTTCATGGCTGATTGTTGGCTAATCTAAGTGAGATTTTTCAAATATAGACAGACATAAAAACGACACTATTAAATAGTGGAGTCTGCAGTTTTTCCTACAGTTAGAACAACGAGTAGCCATCTTTGTTTTGGTTTCCTGGTCTGCAGCTTCCACAGGATAAGATACAGCAATGGTTTAATAATAATATTTTAACTGTTTTCTTTGAGAATCACATCCCAGTTCTTGGAAAAGCCCCATATTTCTAATGCAGTGTTAGCACATGGTGTCTTAATGATAACTAAAGGTTAAGTTGAGCATGTTTAAATTTTCTTTCTGATTCCAGTGTTGAACATCTTGAAATACTGAAATGCTAGTTAAAAAGCTAAATAAAAATATATGTATTTTTAGTGTTATAGGAATGCCCAAGGAAAAATATGACCCGCCGGATCCCAGGCGGATGTACACAATTATGTCCAGCGAGGAGGCAGCCAATGGGAAGAAGTCATACTGGGCTGAGCTGGAAATCAGTGGTAAGCATTAGGTGTCCTCTGGCTATGTGGGCTAATGATTGAAATGATTGACCATTCAAACTCGTTACATAACAGTTTGTCATATGTTAACGATTATTTAAGAGTGTTTAATGGAAGTGTTTTGTTCTTTTATCTTCTTCATCATTGTGGTGTTGCTTTAAATCCACATTATACACTGATTCCATTCTTTCTACCTTTCTCCTGCCCTGCCTGCAGGCCGTGTAAGGAGTCTGAGCACAGCTTTGTGGTCTCTCACCCACCTCACTGCCCTGCACCTAAGTGACAACTCGTTGTCACGCATCCCACCAGACATTGCCAAATTACACAACCTGGTGTACCTGGATCTATCGTCCAACAAGATCAGAAGCCTGCCGGCGGAGCTCGGCAACATGGTGTCTCTCAGGTGAGACATTTTGGGCCAAGTTTGTACCCTTTTACTTTGAGCATGATATAAAAGCCACAGCTGTTGTGGAGTTGGTGTTAAATTTTGGCATCTGCATATGGGTTTTCAAACATCATTTCACTGTGACATTTCTTTGATCTGAGATACAAGTCTTTATTCGTGTTTTTAATAGTACCCTGTTTTTTTGCTAAGTTTTATTGAAGTTTAAAATTTATTATCAGTCGAAAGGCTGTGGGACACTGAGAGCCAACCTTCAGCAAAGTTATTCTATATCCAGTCCAAACACATGGACTGGACTCTAATATGGCAAAACTAATGGAATTAGTAACTGTTCTCAGGTCAAAAATGCTCTCTTAGTTTGAATAAAATATTGTGACTGAAGTTAATGCGCAACAGCAACAGTTATTTCACTTTATGTGCAAACACACACATTGTGCCTGTCTGAAGGTCAACTCGCCGTGATCTTAAATATGTCAAACGCTGCAGCTGCTTGTGTTATTTGGTTCACTGTTGTTAGGCCATGTCATCATGCTGGTGCAGTGTGTACACATGTAGAAACAATTAAGAAGCTGAGACTGCAGGACTTAAATATATGTAAGAAGCAGTTATTTAGACAAAATTGTTTCTGGAGTGCACAAATTTAATTTTTATTTTTATCCTGGCATATTTTCTTAGATATTTTGCTCACAAATTTTACAATTTCACAATTTTGCATATTTTCTTAGATATTTTGCTCACAAAATTATAAGTAGATTTTCTCACAAATTAGGGCTTGTGTCAAAACTATTTGTTTCTGTGGGACCTTTGCCCTCTTTTAGCTATTGCTACACAAACCCTTGTTAGAGTTCACTTTCCCAATATGTTTTATCACCTTGACTGCTCAACATTCTTAAATGATTTAAATGATTTATCCTTATGTATTTCACAGGGAACTGCTTTTAAATAACAACCAGTTGCGGGTTCTGCCATTTGAATTGGGGAAACTGTTTCAGTTACAAACACTGGGGTTGAAAGGTGAGTGACTTTCATATCTTTGTATTGCCATTTAATCCATGACAATCTCCTGTTTAGCTTGGTGATAATTAAGTTTGTATATTCTTTTTCTCCTTTAACAGGAAACCCGCTTGCACAAGAAATTCTGAGCCTCTACCAGGAACCTGACGGCACGCGGCGACTGCTTAATTATTTGTTAGACAATCTGGCAGGGGCTATCAAGCGCAGTGAGTCCCCCCCCCTTTTTGCACTTGTGATATTTTGCATAGTAGCAAACTTATTTTTTTTTTCTCTAAACATTAGATTGATTTTAGTGTGAACAGATTACTGATTTTCTGGTCATTCTTTGTGCTTCCCCTCGGTTCAGTGCCGGCAGAGCAGCCCCCAGCTCGGTCATGGATCTCTCTGCAGGAACCAGATCGAACTCGGGCCTCAGGTAAGAACAGCAGAGTTGGTCAGAATAACAAATGAGCATCTTGTGTATAATGCATTGCAGAGTTTGGATGGAAATACTTAAGAAAGACCCTCAAGGTCCTGTTTTTATTGAGGCCACCACTAACTGCTGACATTGAAGTGATATCAGAGTGGTATCATTAGGAATGTTGCCTGTAAACAATGCTGTTTCCTCCAGCAGTTGTTTTTAAAGCAGCAGGGTTTGGTCTTAACTACTATGCTTCCCCCATGTGTACAGAGACAACAAGTGCAGGCTGCGTTACTTTAAAAATGTATTCCCTTTTGTTAGTGTAGAGCAGGCAAACGCTACATAACATACATAACAGGAACAGAGGCTTTTTTTATGTGGTCATGGTACAAAGCTCAAAATAAAAATCTCAGGATTCAACTATAAAACTAATTCTTACCTCATCCCTACTGCTGACCTCATTAAAATAAGAGTAAAATATGTCTGTACAGGATTTGTTCTGCAGTATGTAATATGAATGTATTATTGTCCTTTCAGCACTGTTCTCTGTGATGTGCTACAATGTGCTGTGTGATAAGTACGCCACACGACAGCTATATGGTTACTGTCCCTCCTGGGCTCTAAACTGGGAATACAGGAAGAAATCAATCATGCAGGAGATCCTGGGCTGCAATGCCGACATCATCAGTTTACAGGTGAGAAATTATTTTTAAAAAAAACACCAGTGTGACTTTAATATGAATTGACTCATTTTTTTAATGAAGGTGGATCAGGTGAGATTTAGAGACATTGGTGTTGGCAGTAGGGCGATGCATTTGGAGCTTTTGGCTCCACCTCAAGTCATTGCACGGTGAAAGAAATGCCCGTAAATTGTTATGCAATGCAATAAACCCCCCGCAATAAATATTTGTTCCGTGAAGCACTCTTCACTGCTGACACTCTGTTTACTCTTGATTTGTGCCCTTTTTTTCCCCCCGGAATAAGTTGAAATATGGTGGCAGCTGCGTTAGGAAAAAAATTATACTGTTATAATGAAATTACTTTCTTATGTGTGGATGTCTTGATGAGGGCTTTTTCATCTGGTTTAGTTTTTGTCTTGTCTTATTTATTTATTTATTTTGTCAATGCTAATCTTATTATCTTAATTACAGGAGGTTGAAACGGAGCAGTACTACAACTTCTTCTTGCCAGAGTTGAAAGAGCAGGGCTACGATGGGTTCTTCAGTCCGAAGTCACGAGCCAGGACCATGTCGGAGTCGGACCGTAAACACGTGGACGGATGTGCAATTTTCTACAAGACAGAAAAGTATGTAACTACAACCTGATGTCGTTTTAATTAGTTTTTTTTTGTGTGTGCCTAAGTTGTTTTTGAGAGGTGGAGAGAAGTGGTCAAAAAATGTATTTTTCGGTTGTAGCCTTATATTCTGTTAAAACAGTGACCAAACTGGTGCCAATAAGGTGCTAGTGTAATAAGGTGCAGCCTTTATATTTAATTCATTACACATATAATATAAATCTCCATTATTTACGTTAACTTAATTTGCCAGTGTTTGAGGACTTAGTGATGCACGAAGAAAAACTGTGGGGTCTGAGTGCTGAAATAAGGAGGGAATGGAAACCTTTTATTCTTTCTCTTCAGCTCGGTATCAAATGATCACCTGGTCAGGAACTGATCTCTGGCCTCATGGTGTAATATTTTAAACATCCCTGTGTTTAAAATACAAGTTTAAAAAAAGCAGGTTTAAATATGAAGGGTCACTATATCATGGCCTTTTCTAGTGTCTTGTTAATGCATATTTGCAGGCCTGAAGGTGTAGTGTAAATTATCAAATAGTCCAAGTGAGTGAAACATCTGCTCATCAACTGGGTTCTTTTCCTGTAATATTTGTGAAATACTCCCGTCTGCTGCACATGTGCCTTCCTGGTATTCGCTCTCCTCCTGTCTTAATGTTTTAACATCACTGCTGCTCAGAAAATAATGCATCTTATATAGAAGCTCCCACATTGTTTAAGATGGATCTTAATAATCAAGTAAGTCATAATTAATACCAATTTACCGCAAATAATCATGATAAATCCCGCCTGAAGTTGAAGCGTGGGATAGTATTTTAAGTGCAATTAGCAATAACAATGGGATGACCTGCAGAACTATTGGATATACAGTGCACATCATTCTTTTCTTTTTTTTTTTACACATTTGCACATTATTTTTTCAGCTAAACCTGGAGCCATTCTGCTTGTGTTATTTGTTGTGTTCCTGAACACACCTTTCATCTTTGATTCCATAAACATCTCTGATGTTGAAAGTTGAACCACACCTGACTGACATAACCAGTTGGATTACCCAAACATTTATCAAAGCCAAGGGTTTTTTATATATATATATTCTCTAGGGAATGTTTATTTTGGCACGACCATTTTGTGAAGTCTCTGGTTACTTGTTTGTGGTGTTTTGATGATTAGAATCTACACATAGAAACAAATGGAATGTTGCATTTGGAGCAGCACATCGAGTGTTTCAGCCTTGATGGTGGTGATTCAGAAATCATTACTTTTGTTCCTCCTTTTGTGTAACGTTTACCTGCAGCACCCAGAGCACTTCTTCTCTTTCTGAAGTGGCTTTGCAACAACAATGCATCATGATTTACATTAGTATAATTATTAGAATTTCAAGGCCGAAGTGCATTGGTACACTTTTCAAAGCAAATAGAAAAACAACTCGGATGAAATTCTCCTACTTCACAGTTGTTTTGTTTTTTTACAATTCAGTGAAGAAACTAAACCTGATTATTACTGGTGATCATTGTGTATCATCTTCACAACTAACTCAGTGTCATCATCCTTCTCTTGTCTCTGTCTGAAGGTTCAGTGCAGTTCAGAAACACACAGTAGAGTTCAACCAGCTGGCCATGGCGAACTCTGAGGGCTCGGAGGCCATGCTGAACAGGGTGATGACCAAGGACAACATCGGGGTCGCTGTGCTGCTCGAAGTCCGCAAAGAGATGATGGAGCTTTCCTGTGAGTACACAGCGCTACTGTGACCTTTGAACCTTTCTCATTGAGTGCCTTATCTCACCAGTTATACATCACTGACTGACAGTTACCATGCAGAATACACTTTTGTTTTAAGCTAAATGGACCTTAGGTGGACACACAGACTTCATTTTATTTTTTTTGATAATTTCTGAACATTTTTCCCTTCTCACATTTTTTTAAAGCTGGGAAATCCCTCCATGGCATGGAGAAGCAGCTAATGCTGATAGCCAATGCCCACATGCACTGGGACCCGGAATACTCTGACGTGAAGCTGGTCCAGACCATGATGTTCCTGTCGGAGGTGAAGAGCATAGTGGACAAGGCCACGCGCAGCCTCAAGCTGTCTTCTGTCTCTGGTGAAACTAATGCCATTCCACTGGTGCTGTGTGCTGACCTCAACTCCTTGCCTGACTCTGGTAAGTGGATGGCGCTGTGGTTCGGGAAGAAGCTGCATGAAACCTTTGTCATTGTATGGAGGTTGGTGTGCTGATGTGAGACTCTTCACATCAACGTGACATTTCCAAAGCTATTGTTCTGTGAAATCTATGCAGAAGTCTTTGTTTCTTTATCTCCACGTATTAGATTCCCTCTCGTTCCAGTGTGAACTCGTGATGGTACACGCTTGACATTTGTGATCCTGACGGGAAAAATGTTTTTCTTCTCCCTCTCTCTCTCTCTTCAGGCGTAGTGGAGTACCTGAGTACTGGCGGAGTGGACTGCACCCACAAGGACTTTAAAGAGCTGCGTTACAGCGACTGTCTGACCAAATTCAACTGCAACGGCAAGAACAGCACGTCCAACGGCAGGATCACCCACGGCTTCAAGCTGAAGAGCGCTTACGAGAATGGCCTGATGCCTTACACCAACTACACCTTTGACTTCAAGGTAACCCATCTTTCTCACCACTGCTGACATTTTTATTTAAAAAAAATGTATATAATATTTCATGTGCTTTTATGAGAGTGTAGATGTATAATAAACAATACCCTTGGTATGTTCATTTTTGGTGAATTCATGTACAGGGAAAGCTGTTACGAATTATTAATGATGAACGCTTTGATCCTTCCTGGAGACATGACGCCTTCCTTCCTCTTCCCCCTAGGGTGTCATTGACTACATTTTCTACTCCAAGCCTCACCTGAACATGCTGGGTATCCTGGGCCCCCTGGACCCCCACTGGCTCGTAGAGAACAATGTCAGCGGTTGCCCACACCCCCACATCCCCTCCGACCACTTCTCTCTCTTCGCCCAGCTGGAGTTGCTCCTGCCTAATGTGCCGCCCCAGGTCAACGGGCTCCATCTCCCTGCCCGCAGGTAGTGAGTCCCTGCCACACCACCGGGGGAGCTGCAAACACAGTCCCTTCCTTTCAACCCTCCTTCCTCCCACTACCAGCTCTTCCCTCCACCACCACTGGAGGAGGAAGACAAAAAAACACAACCTGTAAAATATTCGTACAGTGAGGTCTGGCCGACAGGGATTTCGTATAATGTTATAGATATTCTATATATATTTTTTCCTTTATTTTTCTCTTTTGCTCTTTTTTAACTGCTTGATTCAGTCCATTTTCTGCATCAAATTTGTTTTTTTTGGACTCCTCCTTCAAATCCACCCACATTGAATCTGTTGTCCAGACTAAAAGGGATGGTAGCTCTCTGATTTGTCCACAAGCGGGGAGGGGCTCTGTTTGCGTTTAGAAACGGGGCAAAAGGTAACTGGGATCAAATCCAGCTGATCATTTCTAGAGCTGACGGTCTGCTCGTCTGTCTGTCCTGTACAAATATAAAACCAGCAAAGACAGCAGACTTGAAACTCCCAGACCTCCATGATTAGCTTGTGCAGGTTTTTCCCCTCGTTCTCTGCTTAGCCGTCGTAACTCGCTCGGTCTTTCCTTCAATGCCAACGTTCCACGACTAGGATGTCGGAGCAGCTTCAAGCCTGAGGTGGATAGAGTGCAGCTAGCGCCAGGTGAAATTTCCCTGCTGTCATTCTGTGGTGCTGAGGCCGGCTGTGTGCTGCTGGCCTCCCATGGTGCTACAAGATAGTCTACACCTCTGACCCCGGGCCCGGTGCATTAGCTACTATCGCTTAAATGCTTCAAGAACCAGGCTTTTTGGGAAAAAAAAACGACATCCAGGTGTTGGAAGGTGGAGGCACAATTTGTCAGAGAGAGAACGATGTGACAAACCATGAGCAGAGCTACCATCCCTTTTTACAGACGTCACGCCAGCTAGTACAGTCGTTAGGGTAGTCTTAGACTAAGGGGCTTGTGTGACCCATGTGTCATATTTTATTGTGGGGCAAAGGGTTTTTTTTTTTTTTTTTAGGCTGATGGAAAAGGTGATGGGAGACTATCGCAAACCTTTACTTTTAAGGTGATTGCTTTTAGGCAGAGTGAGTGAGTAATGGCTGATACCCAGGAGTAAAACCAGCATTCCTCTCACTGTCAGGGGTTGTCATCCAACTCCAACACACATGCAAGCTTACACTCACATACACACACACAAAATTACTCACACCCCTCAACACACACACACACTTATCTTTATATACAGGTAATTTGAAGGCAGATCTGTAGCACTATCTCTGAGGCCAGTAGTGACTTTACCCCAGCCATAAATTTCACAAACACACAGAAGCAGTGATTTTTTTTCTTTTTCTTCTTTTCTTTTTCTTTCACAAGTCTTTGTACAGAATAGAAATTTAGACTCTCTTTACATGATTGTATATGAACCACAAAAGACCTGTTTTCTGGCGTTTTTTGTACTAAGAGTAAATTATAATCTGATTTGAGAAGAGAAAAAAAAAGATTGTATTGTAAACTATGGCTAAATTTTTATCCAGTTGATGTAAGATGAATTGATATTACCAGCTTGTACAAAAGACGTAAGAAGAGGTTGTTTCAGGCGTTCGTTCTCACTATTTTGCACTCCCGAGAGATTAAGTGTAACAAACGTATCAGTATTGTTTTGTTTTTTCTTTCTTTCTCCCCTTCATTTTCTGCCGTTTGATTTAATTTCCCGGCACGTTTCTGCGATTTGTAAATAGACACCGATTAACACTCCGCCTGTTGCTTGTTGCCCATTAACGAAGCCATCGATCCACAGCGCTGCCATATCACCAGAACCAGTCGCTGCTCACCAGTGACTCCACATCTGCTCATTCCCACATCTCCCCTCCTCTCATTCTCATCAGTGACTGGTGGATAAAACAAACCTTTAAACAAACAAAAAAAAACCCAAACATGACACCAAACATCGTGTGCCTCGCTGTAGCAGTCCTCGTCTTGCACTATTTTGACGAACGCCGGAACAACCTTTTCTCCTTTTATTTTTAAATACTGTTGAGACATTTGTGAAGATTTTATGTCTTTATTTTTTTTTGTTAAATGTCCTTTTTTATGAGCTGTGACAATGTTATGATGTGTATAATATCCTTCCTATTCATTGAGCTCTCTAGTAATCAGGTATGCTTTTCCACCCATTCTATTCTCCACTACTTATGGCTGTCCTCTCTGTTTAAAACCTGACTTTTAATTTATTTTTTTTTATTTTTTAAATTATCACCACAAATCTCCTCAAATACCAAGTCCTTCAATCTGTTCCCGGCCATTATTTTTAAACCTCCATCATCCTGACCTCTGGTCACCCTAAACTGCCCAGCCCACGGACGACACCTACCCCCTGTATTTACTCGAGTTGCGTCTTTTAACCCAACTTTGTATAGTTCTCTAACTTGACCCCCGTTCCTGCAGCTATAGTGCCACCTGTGGACCCTACCTCTGTATTGGGGCGGGGTAAAGGTGGAAAAGCTGATCAAGGGATGAGGTTCATCCGACTCGGCCTTGCTTGGTTTTTTTTTTTTTTTTTTTTCCTCCAATTGTTCTCTGAAGGCCAGGCACACACACGTTTCCAAGATTCTAAAACAATATATATATTTCCCCCCGTACATCACCTACGTCAAAGCTAAATGATCGGTCAGTGGTGAGACAACGAATCCAGCCGCCACGCCGTCACACCGACACACCTGATGATTGAGCACTTAGTAGACACGGATGCAGCTCATGAGTAAAGATCTTATTGCTTGGATGTATATTTTCCAATGAAATTTTTTTAAAGCAGGGGTGGGGTGAGCACGCAAGTAGGAAGTCAATCCTTTGTCTTCAGACCAACATCTCTCGCCCCTTGTTGTTTGCCCTCCCCTTCATGTTTTTAAAACCTTTGTTGTTTTCCAATGAAAACCAATGTGTCCAGTTTGCATTTTCTTTTCCTTGAATGGCATTAGTATTGTAGAAAATTTAAAAAGCTAGCTTTTTTGTAAAGTGTGAATAAAAGATGTATCTCATGTTTCCTTTCTAAAATGATACTGAATCGTGTTGTTGTTGTTGTGTAAATCATGAATCCTATGACGGTGTTAATTTTTTTTTCTTTGTTTTGATTTAATTTGATTTGACTCTCACTCATCTTGATTTATCCAATCACAAACCAAATCCGTTGTAGAAATTATCACTTTGCCCGGGTGAGGTTGAACATTCCCGGCAAGGCCTCGTACAATGAAGGATTGATTTTTTTTGGTTTTTTTTGTTTTTTTTGTGCAGGCGTGTCGTGGACAACCTGCATCCTAGGTGTCGGTTTAGACTTTGAGCACAGGGATATTCAGGCTTTTCTTACTCTTGATTTTAAACTTTGAGCTTTATTTTTGGATTGTTGCTTGGCACTAGCTGGACGGTGCTGTTGTCTGGAGGTCAGGGCAGCAGAGCTGTCTGACCGGTGGCGGCGGTGGAGTTGTAGAGAACACCGTTCTGACTGGTGTAAAATCTGTTTGTGAGACTTGCGCTAATGTCGTGCCGCTGGTCGCAAGCCTGGTCCTGTGGTGATTGTTTTTGTTGATATTTTTCGAGTTCTGCTAGTTCATCTCACTCTGTTCTCGTGCATCACAGTAGTTTAAGTCTGTTACACTAGTTAGCAACTCTTAGTAGTCACTAATTTGAACTTTTAAGTAGATTAAATCGTCCTTTTCTCCTCCCGTATTTGTCACTTTCGCTGCAGACTTTTGAGTGAAAATCACAGCTGAATCTTTCTCGCCCTCGAAGCTTCAGCACGTGGTCATCGTCAGCTCTCGTGTTTGTCATAATTGAACTGTGTCACGAGGGGAGGCTAGGTGTAGTGATGTTTAATTTGTTCCCTCCCAGCTTGCATCGTTGTCAGGGTGCGCACCAAAGCTGCTTGTAGTTGAGTTCTCTGTGGTCGAGCGAGCTGTTCCAGCCACCAGTGATGTTTTGTTTCTTGTCGTTTCATCGTCTTCATAAAATGTAGGGCTGTAAAGGAAAGCAAGATACTTTGTCCTTTTCCTTCAATCTCTCTCTCTCTCTCTCTCTCTCTCTCTCACACACACACACACACACATACACACCTCCCAGTTCTAACCTATCCCCGCAGAGAGTTTAGAGTTTAAGTTCTCAGCCCACCACCTCCATATAGCTGTATCTTCTCTAACAACTTGGCAATAACGTCTAGACATCGTCAAAATGGGTTTTTAAACTCTTTTTCCTGGAAAATGTAGCTCAGCTTCTCATGAATTATTTTGCTGTCCACTTGTTCAATGCTTGTTGGTTTTGTTCTTCTTATCTGACATCTTGTATATTTGCTCATCTCCTCCTCCTGCTGATCTAGTGGTAGTTGTTCAATGATCAGGATTGTCTATCTGTAGTCAGCTGAGTACATATATTGATCTGTGTCACTGTGTTTATGCACTGGACCAACTATTGTTTACCATTCATGAAATACCAGCAAAAAAAAAAAAAAAAAGAAAAAAAAAAGAGAGACAAAACACTTGCACAAACGTCGTAGAATGTCCATGAACCCAGATGAGAAATCAAGGCAGCTGTTTTCAAATCAACACATACTGTTTTAAAAAGAAACTGAATGGTAAACAATGCTTTCCGTTGTATCCCTTAGCCGTCCTCTCTGTTCTCTTTGGAGTAGTTTTTTTTTGTTTTTTTTTTTAGTTTCTTTTAATTTTTTTTTTTTGGTTCTGTTTTTGTTAGACTACAGTTTCAGCTTGTTTCCTTTACACCTACCTATGTATTTTCCTACTTCTGGTTGAAAATAAATTCTATATTATCTGTTTCGAGCTGTGTCACCTCTTATTCTTTACAGTGGATGTTGAAAATAAATTCTATATCTCTTCTCCTCGTCTCGCCTTCTTTTACTTCTCTGATAATTATATTTTCTTTCATTTTACTCCATTTTCCTTTCTCTTGTCGTGATTCACAGGACAAGGCTCATTTTACTCCATTTTCCTTTCTCTTGTGATTCACAGGACAAGGCAATGTAAACATGACAGGTCTTTTCTTGAATCAATCGCATGTATTTTTGCTGTTAGCAAGCAAGCTATAAATTTAAGGTGCCGGGTAAAATTGGTTCAATGTTGAATTTTTTTTAACCAGGAGCACCTTGTTGCTGCTTCTGGTCAGATGTATCACAGTTGGACTAAATTTGGAATATTGTGAGAAGCGGCTGCAAACAGGCAAAGAGCCACATGTGGCTCAATACCCACAGGTTGAACCACCCCTGCTTTAGACATAAATGAAGGGAGAGACGAGTCGAGAGGAAGAACCCACAGAACGGTCGTGGAGAAAGTAATAGAGCGGGTTGAGATGAACCCTGTCGATTGGCTCTGGCAACTCTTAAAGGGAGGTTCCATTGAGGTTGGACGTGATGTTGAACAGCTGCTGGCAACTGGATCGTGAGCTCCAGGGTTTTGGATTCTGTGGTCCACAGTTTAGAAGCACCATGCTAACTCCAGTGGGCGTGTTGTTAAAGCTGGGCCCTCACTGTGACAAATATTTTCAGACCACTGAGTTAAAAGTGTCCAACCCCAGAAGAAACATCTGTCAGTGAAAACACTCCCCCTCTTCTCCCCCCTGAAGTGTCCTTCAGTAAGACACTGAAACATTATTAGCACCACGGGCGCTCTTTGTAGCCCAGCAGTGGCCTCAGGTTTCCTCCAGTATGGCAAATGAAAGAGAATCGCCCATTGGGGATCAATACAGTTAGAATTAAAACGTGGGATACCTTAAAACACTCCGAAAGAGCTGCTGGGTGTATTACCGCATTTGGGCACACGGGGGAGCCAAAAGGCAACAAACGTTTGAAGCTGTCTTGTGCGTGACGTCCACGCAGAGAGAGAAGATGCCAAGTCTGAACAAGTCCGTCAGGGATCATAACATCATCTGCTGTGAATGTCGACTGAACCGGGACTGAGTGAGCGGAGAATCTCAACAAGAAACTCATCACCATGGGAACGCAAAAATAATACCACAAGACCTTATCAAATGTCATTAGAGTTTATATAAGCAGCCAGGGGGGAGGGGGGAGAGGGGTGGGAGGGCTTATCTGTTGTTAATGAACCAGTCAGTCAGTAACTGCAGGGGAGTTCTTGTACAAACATCGTCTCCGTCCACTGCCTGTAGGAGACAACACGTGAGTAATACGGACACACGTCTGTAAAGTGGTGTTTTACACGTGTGTTTGTGGACTGAACGTGGGGACACTGCACTACTGTTACACAACTTACAGATTTGAAGCCTCTCACACAAACCTTTGAGGGTGGCAGTTCAAGGTGTGAACCCATACTGAGTGGGGTGGGTCATGAGTTCACACCACAGGACTGCATCCAGATTTGGAATGAAAAAAACCCCCAAAACATAGGAATGTGACCGAGGAAAGACAAAGCTGTCAGAACTGATGTGTGACAGAAGAAAAGCAGCAAAGTTGAAAGTGAAAGTGTAAAAAGACAGTAGTGAGACCTGCTATGATGTAGTGGCTCTGTCGAGAAAAAAAACAAATGATGAGATGAAGATGTGAAAAACAAAAACAAATGATGAGATGAAGATGCTGAGATTCTCCCCGAGTGTGAGAATAGAGGGGATTTGAAATGAGAAGGTCAGAAGGGACAGTTAAGGTGGCGCAGGGACAGTTAAGGTGGAGAGACACGTGCAACAACGAACTGGGCGAAATGAGGGACCCATATTTTAAAAGTGGGAAACATGATGCGAGACGACCCAAATAAAACTCTCTTGTGACCCACCTGAGGCTCGCGACCCAGTCTTTGGGAAACAATGACCTAAAATGTTACTGTGTGGATGGGTTTACACCGTTTCCTTTTAACTTTTCAAAATGGACGAGGAGAATAACAAAGGTTGAGCCTCCACGTCTCCTGTAGCTGTGAATTAAATATATAAATAGTTTCTATGTGGCCCAGTGACGGATCGGGGGCCCGTCCAGGACGTACCATACCTTTAGTCTGATGTCATGAAGCACTGACTGCAGCGCTCCGCCGTGACCTTTAACAGGATGAAGCAGCCGATGATAAATGATGAAATGTTTTATCCAACGTCTGGCTGAGGAGAGTCAACATTTAATCTCTGTGTCTGGGTCATTTCAGGAAATCTGCTTCACATTTCCCCCACAAAAAAAACAAACCAAAACGTCATTTTCAAAAGGTTTCTCAGCCGTTATCCCCTTTAACTGATAACACATTACAACAACAGCCATAAACAACACCAGTGGCCTTGGTCCTGGGTTATGAGTCCAAGATCAACAGTTTCTTTTATCTGTCCATCACTTTGTCTGACGGCCCACGCTGCAATTAATCAACGTGGAGTTCACTCGGTTCTGTTTGTGGACTACGTGGAGTGATGAAACATTTTTTTGTCAAACATTTGGGACGGTACCAGGGAACAAATGGACAGGACAGCAGCTGGGTCCACCAAATGAGCAGCGGTGAACAGACGTGAGCCACCATTCTCCTCCTTTGTGACGCTGAGACACATGATGAAGTAGCTGTAAGGCCATGGTGTGTACGGAATACTACACGGGAGACAGTAGCCCCCGGTACTGCACCCAGAGCTGTGGAGCCAGCCTGATATGATTACATTCAAATGGTGTGTGACAGTTAATGTAATTCTCACCTGATTGTTTTCATGTGGAAGCCGTCGGCTGCAAAAACACACGCGGCCGCGATCTCAGTTTAATGTGTTTAAAATTAGCGCTGGGGAAGATGGAGGAGAGAATCGGAGGCGGTCCAAGTGGCGACTTTCCCTGTTGAGGTCGTGAACTATTTCCTGCTTTCAGTGGAATATTCCTGGACGAGGCGCGGGCCAAGTGTGTGCTCGTGGGTAAGCAGACATTAAAGAGAACGAGGGAGTTTGTTGTTCACTCGGAGGGAGGAACGAGGGGAGAGACGGGAGACAGATTCCTCTTTTCTTCACCCCGATGTTGTCGGGCTATCTGTCTTGTGTTGACGTGGCAGAGTGACTGCGAAGCCCGTAAAGCCCTTTGCAGATGTAGATCCTCTGTTTCCTCGTCTGTTCCTGCTTGTTTTCTCCATCATTTTTATTGCTCCTCCACGGCTCAACGGTCCCGTCTTACATCTATCCTTCCCCTTTATGTCTCATTAGTGCCTGTGTGTAGTAATGTTGTTAATTTACTGGCGTAAAATCCAACTTTTCCTGAAAAATAGTCCCCCCCAGGCCTCCAACCGCTTCCCTCCAGGAGCGGACGAGGATTTGTCTCTTGAAAGTTGAGGAGTAGATCAGACATCAGCGGTGTATTCTAAAGTCAAGTTCAGGTCTCCCATGATGCTTTGGGGTTTGTATACAGTAGGTCGTCTCCTAGCCTGAAAGTTCTAACCCTGTGCAGCTGCACAAACCTGTGTGTGTGAGTTTGAATGTGTGTGTGTGAGCGTCTTCCAGACTCGTTCCTGTGTGATGTTCAGCCAACTTCTCCTGACACGCTCTCTGCAGACGTCTTTGGGATCCACAGTTGTGGATTTGAGTCATAAAACAGTTCCAGATATCGACATAGGATTACACAGTCCACAGAGGACTGGTCGGGCCGGGTCCACGGGCTGATATTTTAATATATTAAGCAGAAGTTCCTTTAAATCTGATCAGCTCCAACAAAGACTAAAGTAGTGGAAATTCTTTTTTTTTTCAACCAACAAAGTCATTCTCTTAAAGTATGTCACATGGTAGCTATTGGTTTTTCACCGAAAACACAAAACCTATTTAGTTTGTTCACTCTGGGCTCATGTAGAAACATGGTGATCCAACATGGCTGCCCGATGATGTAAACAAACAACAGCGGTTCATTTTGGCTTGATGAAAACATCCTGTCACCTGTTTCAGGTGAGTGTTCGCTCGGCAACGTGATTTAAGATTCTAGTGGTGAGAAATACAGGAGGAAATAAACACAGTGGTCCTTTAACAGATGACACGGTTTTCTGTTAGCACACCTGAGCATGTGCTGCCCCAACAACAGATGTCTGTGTGTGTTTTATTAGCCTTGTTAAACCAAAGGGTGTGCAGCCTTGTCCTATTAGAGAGACCTGGGAGTTATGTGTTTGGCCAGCAGCAGTTTTGTGAGAGGATGTGCTCTGTAAAAAATAAAAAATAAAATAAAATAAAAAAAACACTGAGCTGATTGAACCCAGAAATGTTACATTTCTGAACTTAAAAAAAAAAAAAAATCCGATTTTTTTTTTCTTCTTTTCATTGATATTCTCTCAGGGATCTGCTGAAAGTCACGGGATGTCCACGTTGTCATAAACAAATGTCCGTAGAGGTTGGTGCAGATTCCTGTGTGACCGACCATATGTTGTCAGACTCCATGCTGCATGACAGAGAATGAAAGATACTGGAATAAAATCAGGTTCAGTTAAGCGTGTGTGGAATTTTAGCTCGGCACTTTTGTTCCTTTTAGTCAGAACAGAGCCTCAGACATGTGTGTTTGGCAGAAGTAAGTCGACCTCTTTCTGCTTATATGAACTCCAGGGAAGATGCAGAGTTAAGGCAGAAGCAGCTGATGTCAGATCAGATCTGAGGATCAGG